CCCCCACGTGAACCGACAACAACAACACGAACCTCATTTTCGGTTAATTAATTCGCACAAGGTATATTGACTTATTTCAACTCTTAACATTGTTTGGAGTTGTTTGGAGATTGATAATTGTTATAGTATGTTTGAATGTGATGTTTGAAAATTGAGAATTGTTAATTGTTTATCGATTATGTGTGTATGTTGAATTGGAGATTGGAATTTTGTTGTAAATTGTCAATTGTGTATTGGTTGGTTGTTGTTGGGCTTACGGTTTTTCGAAATTAGGGTTAGAATTAGAATTAGGGCTTTCAATTTATTCGAAATATAGATGAATTGTATGTTATTGTTGGGTTATGGGTATTAGGGTTTTGGAGGATTAATCGATTGAGAATATTTTTTTTTTTTTTCGTTGGAGTAAAAAAATGGGTTTAAAGAATAATTGAATTCTTTTGGGTGTTGGATTAGACATTATGTGTTGTTGTAATTGGGAAGAATTGAAAGTTTTTTTTTGCAACAGGTATAAATGGCGCATTGCAGTCCGTATTTTGTTAATTTGTATTGGCGATGTGCGAAGGAACAATTTGTTTCATTTATAGATCGTCCGGATGGTTCATTTGTTATTACGGGGAGGATATCATATGAAGAATTGGTACAAATGATTAATGAAAATTGTCGGTTTGGAGAAGGTTGTACAATCCAGGAGATTACTTTAATGTTTCGTCAACTCGATGGTTCGTGGAATGCCGGAAGACTAAATAACGACAATGCTCTTCAGTGGATTTATTTCTTTCCTTCTATGTCCGTTGTGTATTTGCATTTATCGTTGGAGGCAATTACACCGGTTACATAGTTTGAGGATTTTACTCCTTATTACGGGGGAGTGGATGATGTTGAGGGCACGTCGACTTCTCATCTACGTAATTTTGGAGAAGGGACAAGCTCACCAATGAGAGAATCGGCAAATGAGGACGGGGAAGAAAGTGACGAAGATTTCATTCTCGGTGAAGATGATTTCACAGACGAGACCTCAGAAACCGAATCAGATAGATCGGTAAATGAGGAAAGTGAAGTCGAGTTCATTGAAGAAGAACACCCCTTTCCTAGTGGTGGTCGGCACGTATACTGCGAGATGGGTAAATGGGAGCCGTCCAGGATAGATGAGGACGAGTATGCCATTCCACGCTAGAATGGCGACATTGAGACCATACGTTTGGGCATAGTTTTTCGGAGCAAGCAAGAAGCCCAAATGGCTCTAATGGCTTGGAACGTCGATAGGTTGCAGGAGATTCGGACAAATGATTCAAATCACAAGTCATACAAAGTGGTCTGCAGATCTAGTGAAGATCTGCCTTGTGTGTGGAAGGCTCGGGTGACTAAGTCCAGACGGGTTCATGAATTGTGGGAACTAACTGAATAGACTGATAGACACACTTGTATGCAACCGGTTGAGAGAAATGACCACAGAAATGTAACCCCCAAATGATTTCAAATCTCATTCGTAATAAGATTCGAAAGAAAGTGGAGTACGGTGTCGACATGATCCAGACTGATGTGAAACAGTGCTGAAAAGTGGATGTCAGCTATAAGAAGGCATGGCACGGAAGGAGAAAAGCCATCGAGAGTGTGTATGGCACTTGGGAATCAAACTTCGCAGAACTCCCTCAGTAAGCAAAAATTAATTACAAATATATGTGTTGTTTGTCTGTCACTATGTTTATCTATTTATTATGAAACCGTTTTGTAATGTGTAGGTATTTTGCCGCGCTTCAAAGAACGAATCCCTCCACAGTTGTAGAGTGGAAATGGCAGGGTGGGGAAATGGCGCGACACCTTCGAGACAGACAATTCAAATTTGCTGGGCGTTTGGTCCCGCCATTCAAACTTTCCAAATGTGCCCGCCGGTTACTGGCGTCGATGGCACACATTTGCGTGGATCGTACAAGGAAAAATTGCTCGTGACAATAGCACAGACTGCAAATAAGCGGCTATTGCCAATTGCATATGCGCTTGTCGATGAAGAAAGCACGGACAGTTGGTCATTTTTCCTTAGGAATCACGTGTCTGGTGGAAAGGTGGCGACCGGAGACGCATACCTTCCACTTTGACTTCGGGGAGGCCACCATCGCGCTGGAGGACGTACAAGTCCTTTTTGGTCTCCCGATCAATGGAGAGCCTTGTTGGGGAGTGACTCAAGATCGCACACCCCGAGCCTGGCAAGAAATTTGTTATGATGCGCTAGGGTTCGAGCCCTATGTTCAGGTAAATTTTTTCTTACAATTTTTTTTTTTTTTTATTTATGTTTACTCCATTCATTAAATTTTAATATATATAAACCACTCTCAGGGAGCCGACGAACCGGTTCAAGAACCCAAGACTTGGGCCATTGCAGGCCAGTATTTGAGGACCTACGCGTTAGAAGCAGAGTGCAACAGAGAGCTAACCGATGGAAACCACACCAGTCACTTCGAAGAGAGGGCGAGGGCCCTTATACTCTGGTGCATCGGTTGCTTCTTTCTCCCCGACCAGAAAGCCAATGGAGTGAACCTGTACTGGTTGCCACTTTTGTACGACATCGATGCGATCAAGACGTACAGCTGGGGTTTGGCAGTCCTGGCCGGAGTGTATAGAGCGCTCTGCACGAGCTCCAAGGCCGGGAAAAAGTGGATCAAGAACTGTGTCCAATTGATTCAGGTAAATTTATTTGCTTGTTATTTCAAAATTTATTTTTTTATTCTAATTTAGACTAATATCTAATAACAAATAAATATGTCGATATGTGTAGATTTGGGCATATGAACGTATCCCTCGTATTCGCCCAAGAATGAGGGATACGAACTTTGAGAGAGTCGCTGGTTGTCCCTTAGGTGGAAGGTAATCAAATTTATTTATCTTTAATACTTAAATTATTTTCATTATCAAATTTTGTTATTACAAAGTGTTTTTTTTACTGTGATTTTTAAGGTGGGTGGGAAAGAGGAACACGACACGCCTGGGCAAGGGAACAACCATCATCCGGGATCAATTGACAGGGCTGATAGAGACGGATGTAAGATTATTATTAAGTCCTATTGATTATTATTTTTATTTGTTGTTTGTTTTTTTTTTTTTTACTCCACCTGCCTGATAGGGTCCTCCGTCAGTTCGGATGTCGGTAGTCCTCCCCCGAACCTCCTATCATTACGACTGAGAAAGAATATCAGAGACACCACGGAGGCCAGGGAATGACTGGGAGGGCAGTTTTTGATTGGGTCGCCTTTCACGGAGAGCTTGGGAATGCTTGGGTCGAACATAGAGACGAAAATGTCGTCCCAGTCATCCCTATGGAGCAATTCATTGAGCCTGAGGCGGGTTACCTTAATTGGTTTCACAATATCACTGCGAGACTACTCGGTGACCCTGCCAAGTACGCGGTGGCCCAACCGGACAGAGGCTTTCACCCACTTGCCGAGCAGGGGAAGTGCGATGTAAGTAATATATATTTGTGTTTTATATACTCTTATTATTATTATTATTATTATTATTATTATTATTATTATTATTATTATTATTATTTTGTGTTTCATTCTAATTACTTTGAATTTAATTTTCAGACTAGCGCCATGGAGGAAGCTTATCACACGTTATCTAACGTGGACCACCTATATCATACACTCCATCCAGATATGATGGCGGCATTCCAACAGGCTAAGAGCCTTCTATACAGTTCTCTGGCTGTCGGAGGCGGAGAGGTCGCACAAGAGACGTCGTCGAGCCATGTTCTATCGCAGGAGAGCTACGTCCGATCTCAGAGGACGCAGTCACACCGGGCGAGGCATCAACCTGCTGCCAACAGTGGTGGAGGTAGAAGAGGACGTGACCGCCAACCCGCTGCCGACACTGGGCCTCAGGAAGAAGAAGAAAGTGAAAATTTTTTACTTAACAAAAAATTAATTTTATTTATTTATTTATTGTGATTTTTAAAAAAATGATTTACTCAGGTAAAGAAGAAGAAGAAGAAGAAGAAGAACCTGTCACGCCCACAACATCGTCTTCTTCACGACGACCACCACGTCGGATCAGCCACCGACAGCGCAATCCTACGAATCGATACACTCCTAATTAGTTTGTGTTGTATTCGGGGAATTTTGTGACATATTTGTTTTTTTTTTTTTTTTCATTCTATATACTGATATTTGTGTTTTGAATAAATTATTGTGGGTGACTTTTTGTATATAGTGTATGTTGGATTATTTTGGGCGAATGATTCATATTAGTTGGTTGAACATGTTGTGATTTGTTGAACAGGTTGTGAAATGGATCCAAAAAAATATTTTGCATTTTTCTGCAGAGAAAAACGGATTCTAGGAATACGTTTTATGAAGAATTAGGGCAAAATTAGGGAAAAATTAATTTTTTGGAGGAAATTTGATTTTACAACGAAAACGTATTTGCAAAATACATTTTATATTTCTAAAATTTATTTTTTAGAGAAAATTTGTTTTTAATAATTTTAAAATTAATTTTATTTATAAAACGTATTTCAAGAATGCGTTTTCTAATTAAAAAATAATCGTAAAATTAATTTTTATTAAAAAAAGTATTGCAATAATACGTTTTCATTTTTTTGACTTGAAACGTATTTCGGATATACGTTTTTATTTAATTTAATTAACTTAATTACTTAATTATGTTAATTAATTATTTTTAACTAAACCGTATTTTAGGAATACGTTTTACAATTAAAAACGGAATACCAGAATAAGTTTTTCTTTATAAAACGTATTTATTGAATACGTCCTTTTTATTTTGGTCGACCCCCCCCCGCCTTTTGTTTTTGTCCACTTAATTTTTTTTATTTTTAAATAAATGAATAATTCATCATTTTTATTTTTGGCGGTTTATGAAAAAAGAAAAGAAAATCGAATATAGATTAATTCTACATATTATATTAATTATTTTACAAAATAAGAAGCAAAATTGTGTTTGTTCCTGGTGATTTTGGATTTGTGCGGTCGCTGTTCAAATCTACTCCACGCCACTTTCTGATAATATTTTTCGTAAATTAAAAAAACAGTGAGAATATTTTTCGTAAATTAAAATAAAATAAAAATAATTGAAAGCCTCGATCAAAACGAATTTTTTTTATTAATGAGAGTTGTTTTTGAAAAAATGTGGTGTAGTTAATTGTTAGTGAAATTTTGAGCTGATATTAAAATAATTAAAATTGATTTTATGTAAAAGTATGAGAGAGATGATGATATGATAGTTAGTTAAGATTATGTGAGTGAATGAATAGTGAATTAAAGTTGATGTGATATCTAATGATTGATTGTTATTATTTAATTATGTTGATCATATTTAGAATAATAGAGTTGAGTTATATTTTTTGCATGAATTGAGTTATTTTATAAACAAACGTACCCTTAGTAGCTATAAGAATCATTTAGAATTACGTTAATTAAAATTTATGCTATTCATTCACTAATATATTTGTAAACACCAGTAATTATTTTATTATTTATCCATTACATTATTATTAAATAATATATTTATATCATCAATTTATATTATTAAAATATGTAGTTCTTCTGCTAATTATTCTTTCACAAACAAATAACATTGCTCATACAAAAGTGTCCAATTACACCAAAGCTTATAAATGTTGACTAGTTTATCATATGGATGCAGTAGCAGTATATGGACCAGAGGTGTATACCTGCCGAGATGAGCCCGAGCTTAAGCTTTTGTCTAGTACAATTGTGTTTGTTAATTGAGCTTGAGTTTAGTTCTTTATCTATATTATGAAATCAAGTTCAAGTCTTCACAAATTATATGCTGATTTATATTTTTGAGCTTTAACAATTGTCTTGGCTCGTTGGCTAATAAACTTTAAATGAGCTTGAGCCTTAACGAGTCGAACTCACGATCAATTTTTTTTTATTATTATTTTTTCATTTAACGACTCTAAATATAACTCTTTCATTCACTTGTCACGTAAACAGTTACGTGACATAAAATAGTTTTATATTAAAAGCTAGTTGGATTCTAAAAAAAATGATCAATCATAAAATATTTCTCATTTGTGGATGAAATATCAAAAGTAATGAGATACTACCTCCTATTTTTTTTTTTTTTTAAATGTCATTTTGGCTTTATCAACAATTAACCAAATAAATGACCTTTTGAATCTTTTATACATATTTGTTCATTATTACCCTCATCTAGCTAATAAATACACTATGTCTTTTCATATTCACTCTTCATCTTCTCTCAAAACGTCCATCTCTATTCTAATTAATGAGGATTATTATGGACAAAATTTTTTTTTTTTAATTACTGTGCAACTTCTCAAAACAACACTTATTGAAAATAGGAGTGAGTATTAGATTTTGCACATTTTATAACTATATTGACCCCTACAAAACATAAATTGTTGAATTATTGAAGTAGGCTGCTAGCATAAATGGTGCTATTATTAAAGCTCATTACCCTAATGTTTTAAATGTTGGCAGTGAGAAAGACAAAAATTCTATGGAGCCATCGGATGGTTTTCTTATGGAGTCATCCACCACTTAATGTATTGACACATGTCCAAATTGTATTTATTGCAGGACATGTGTCAATGCATTATTGGTGAGTAAGTGTGGATGACTCCATAAGTCGAGCCATCGGATGGCTTCATAGCAAAACTGGTAAGAAAGATGGGGCTGCAATTAATGTTAGGATAGATACCAGCCCCGGTATTGATTCGGGTTGTTTCCTTAATAATATAATAATAATAATAATACAACGAAAATGAAACTGAAAGAGACTTGAGATGGAGAGTTCAAATGTCAATTGAATATTAATTGTACAGAAGGAATGAAAATGAAAGAAAAATTGCCTTCGAGAAAGAAGAATCATATAAATTTTTGCAGAAATTTTATGGTGCCCATATGAGCACCATATGGTGTCATAATTTCACGATCCAACGCCTAATATCCATTGTGAAATTGATAGAATGGATATTAGGCGTTGGATTGTGAAATTTATGGCACCATATGGTGCCCATATGGGCACCATAGAATTTTTGAAATTTTTGTTCGTTTTTTCATTCATTTAATAATTGTTATCATATACATTCAAAACATTTTCCTCTTTTCTTTCTTCAATTATTGGTAACGTGATAGGCAGATTTATTGACACATAAATATGCCACTTTCATCTTCAAGTTTAATAAAATCACATCTAGTCAGCCACATATGACATTTTCACAAACCGTTAGACGGCTAAACTCTTCATATACTTTTAACAAAATTGCATACTTAAACTATGAATTATTACTCTCTTACGTTGTTTTTCAGAGCGTGTACCAATATTACTTTCTTACCTTGTTTTTCAGAGCGTGAACCATTTCATTTTGAAAGTATATGTATACACTGAAAAGAAGTATCTAATTATCTATCTAACAGTTAGACTTGTCTAACAACAACCTTATTAGTGCAAATGCCAGTTTATACTTTTGACCTGCTCAATCTCTTTCATATTCGAAAGTTGCAATGCTTTTAAATTTCTGATTTCCTCTTCAGGTCCAGCAATTATTACAGCTTATACAGTTTATCCATATTTCTTCACAAAATCAAACTTTTGCTCCACAAGTCTTACACTTAGGCCGATGTTTAATCCTCGTCGTCAAGCAGCATATATACCTATTGCTGTAAGACCAGAAACTGTAAATTGTTGCAGTTTTTGGAAACAACCAAGTGAAAGCTTGTCAACCAAAACTGGTTTATATCTGCCTTTGTCTTAATCTGCATCCAACCAATACTTAAATCAGACCTGCAATATGCTGAAACCATTGTGTTTGGGACCATTTAGATTCCCTTATTTTTTATTGTATTTCATTTTTAATTTCGAAAAATGAGATACACATAATCTTCACTCACGATTGCTACAATCATCAAAATAGTTATGGTTATGTAATAAATAAGCGAAAAATGGCACATATCGACGTACCACTGCTTTTTCACCACTCACGTAGTTCTCCACTTTGCACCAGTGTTCACGAGTTTAGTATACACATTCTTAAAATCTTCGAAGAAAAGATCCTGATCATTAGCATATTTTGAGATCCACCTGTCCATGTAAAACAAGATGGATTGAGCAGCCATGTTTAAATTGTCCCAGAAGGATTGAGTCATAACTAAGTTACAATTTGTTGAATAGAATTACCAAATTCCTGCTGATAAATCTATGAATATCCGCACCATTCTAATATATGCCACATTTTCTCATTCTATCATCAATTTTCTGTTGCAACAGCACATCCAGGCTATATATAACAACCCCAAAATGTAAATGGGCAGTAAAATGGCTGTTAGAAAATGGCATACCTGATGCATTCTTCATCCTCAACTAGTGCACGGTCGGAAGGAAGGCCAATCATACTAGACATCCCATCTAAATGTATGAGAAAACTAAATGAATTCTTAGAAAAACTAATGGTTATTAACTTAAGGGATGAAGAAATTCAGAATTCTAATAGTTTTTTTTTTTTTTTCCAAAAAAAAAAAAAACCACTGACTAGTCCCCGAGAATCTTTTTCTGCTAAAAAAGGTGAAGTACCTGAAGAAGACCATGGCTTCTCTAGAAGAATCTTATAGTAAGAATTGTCGAAGACAACTGGGTTTCCAAAACCTTTGCTTCCAAGAGTATGAGCTCCAGATAAAGCAACAAGTTCCTGGGTTCTGTAGATGAGTTCTTTCAGGAATAAATTGAAAAACCGACAGTTGGACTATAAATGGTACGATTAAAGGAAAGACGAACAGCAGACGTCCCAACCAACAGTTTCTCGATCATGTGTGAAAAATCACATACAACGTTACTTCAGAGTCATACTTGAGCAAAAAAAGTAATCCACAGTACCTCTGCCAATATTGGAATTTTCAATTAACTAATGCAACATGTTTGATTTTCATCGTGTTTGATTTTCATTTATGTTGTTAGACACTGCCCAGAAACATAGAGCAGCAGAAAATAGAAGAAAATGCAAAAGTGAACTAATCAACTTCAAACATCTAACTGCACTAGCATAACAGGCAAGAAATATATACATCCACCCACACAGGCAATAAGCATACATATGTATGAAACCAAATTACTAAACACATCCCAAGAATTAGAAAAGATATAGATTAGATGCCTTGAAAGTAATGATTTAGGAGAATCTTTCAAGACAAAGATTAATTACTCACGAGAAGCCTTTCTTTAGAAAGCATTGCTTCATGGCAGCCGCATTTAGTGATTCTTCTGGAAGCTTCCCATCAGGATCAGGCACCCTGAGTGGGAGGAGGGTTAAAAATATTGAAAACATAATGCTTATATTACATAAGAGAGTACACAAGATTTGAGCCATTTACGTTGCATCAATTCTTCCCAGTTGAACAGAGATCTTCGGACCTCCACACACAGAGACAGCCTCGGCCCCACCCACAGCTATCAAATCCGCCCAGGATACTATCAATCCCAAACAGAAAGAGATTAGATTATTTAAATTTGCTGCTAAAGCTAGAAAATCCTCACACTTCACCCTGCCGAAAAGTAAAAATTACCTGGTCGTACTGCTTCCACTTGAGCTTTCGCTTTAGCAAGTACCTAATACCAGAACAGGCATTAACCACAAAAGAGTGACAAAAAAGAGTATAGGACAGTAAAGATGTAGGGTTTGATCATACCTTCAGTGACTTCTCGAGACCCATATTTTCGGGTCTGTCAAGCTCATAAACTATCGAACCATTCATACCACCTAACAAAGAACCAGATATTAAAATTGCTTGCTAGCATATACGAACCATGGAGGGAGGAATTACACGGGCACTATAAAACAGAATCATTAGGATTCTCCTTTTGTTATTAAATACTTTTCTTTATATAACAATTTTAAAAGTCGTGAGTCCTCATCAACATACCTGTTTTATCACCCTCATCAAAAGTTCCGGCGTCATGAAATACTAGACGAAGTAAACCGGCAGCCTTGCCTTTGGACAAAACTTTCCCAATCTCATCTTGTAACAGAATCGTCTCACTGGAGGATAATTTCACAAATTATAAATGCTGGCACATCGAAACAATCGGCATTTCAACTAAGTTTCACTCTTCAGGTACGTGCCCAAGATTTATAGCAGAACACATTAATTAGTACTCATCATTTAACTTAAGAAAAATGCTAAGAATCTCCAAAGCACTAATAAAGTTCCTGCAATATTTCTCTCTCCTTTTTTATTAATGTTGCATTATTTACATAAAAAAATAAATAAATAAACCTTTTTCTTCTCTATGTGTGTAAAGCCCTCCAATGCTATGCTAACGCACTCTCACAAGCTATTAACAAATTTGGTAAATGTTCCCAAGCTGAACGACTTTAATAAAAAAAAAAAAAAATTTATAAACAAATAGCAGCCACACTCAGCTACACAGATTAACTGAACAACGCAATTCTTAAGCCTTACTCAATAGGCGAGGACAAGCTGGGGGAAGTCATGAGAAACGACGCCGTCGCCATATACAGCAGCCCTCGCCTTCCGAATGTAGACGCAGAATGCGAAGGAGAAGCAGCCGCACAGGCTACGGAGAGCCTTTTCCGGACGGATTTGACGGGAGGTAAGGTTCTGGCCGGAACAATGAGCGCGATACCGGCGGTGAAGGAGGTGGCAGGGACGAGTAGCGACGGATCGACGGCGGCTACAGTGCTCCTCATCCTCAGTCAGCTGGGGAAGATAACAGTGGGCGTAATTGGGAAAAAACCGGTTATGACACATGGGTTGATTGGAAATGAATTTTGGATGGGTTTGTTGAGTCATTTTGGGTAGTTCAGCCTTTAATACACACAACCTAACTTTTTTAAAAGCCTGGTTACCATAAAGTCCCTCTGGGGACATCCAATAAAAATGAAAGGATATAGAGAAGATTAGCATGACTCCTCCATAAGGACGATCCAACGGTACATAGTTTAATCGGTTTCACCAGTTTTACCGTTTATTTTATCGGTTTGAATAAATATTAAATTAATTTATTATTATAATATAAATAATGTACAAAACTAACTTTAATTAATACTAAAATTAATTAACGTCTAATAACAACGTAAACATATAAAAGTTAGTGTAGAACTTTTAATTTATATAAATAAATTAATGAAAATATAAAATAAAAAATCACTTTAATTAAAAGTAAGTATAGAACTTTTCTGATTTGGCACTCATAATGGATATATAAAATAAAAACTAATTTCATCTATATTTAATTAAATTTATTTATCAAACAAAATTAAAAAATATGAAAGAATATTATAAAATATTTTGCAAAATAATTTAAATTTAATTCATTAATCCACCATAAAAAATCACTTTAATGTATTTTTCTCATATATTTTAGAAAAAATATTGATTAAGTATTACATAAAATAAATATTAAAAAATATTCTAAAATATTACATTTTGACTTAAATGAATAATATAAAGAATTAATGTTGTCATGTTATTTATCGAAATACCAAGGTATATTATAACTACAAATAATTAAATAACTTTATATTTCGTAAAGTTAGAAAATATTAATTTGTACATATTAATTTATATTCTAACCTATAAAATATTATAAATTTAAAAGAATTAAAAAATTAATAAACGAGAGATACTGACTCTATAAATATAAAATATAATCACAATATAACACAACTTGAATTTTTTTTTTAAATGCAATTCAAATTTATGGAGTTGTAAATAAAATTTTATAAATGTAATAAAATATTGTCATTTTTTATAAGTTAAGGGTAAAACATGTGTATTATTTTACATATTATCACTTTGTTTGTTATCTCTTATTACTGTATATTCATTATTTACAATTTCACAGTAAATATATTAATTATTATCCTTCTTTATTAGTTTTTTTATTGGATAAATATTAGTATTTTTAAGTGCTCGTATATTACACGGGTATCGCACTAGTTGTTCTATCATATAAAAAACATTCTTAGATTTTGCTCTAATATTCCAAACTCTTGTACCTAATATGATGTAGACATTGGGCTTATTTCTAATAAAAAAAAAATGAAACTTCTTTCTTATCCTATCCAAAATTAATCCTAACAAATTAATGAAGCTCAAAATTTCAAATTTCAATCGAATATTTGGCCTTCTAATTCCAAGATGGCAAATAGTACAAATTTCCTTAAACAAAACGTTTCTGATGATATTTCTAAAAGGCAATTCAAGATTATATTTTTTATCTCTTTCTTGCCTTTTTGAAGAATTTCCCTAAATTTCACGCGTACATCACGTGTCGAAATTCCTTTCCGCCGTCTACGTGTCTCCGCTTAAACACGCTTCAAACAACCCCCAAGGGCACGACTGTCCCCAAATCCAAGACCGAATAGTTGCACGACACGTCACTCGCCTCAAGTTCACCAACACGTGGCGATACGCTATTGGCGGTGTTATGCTAGCCCCCCAACTGGCAGCCGCATTCCGCATTCCATATTTCCTCCCTCCCTTCATAATTCATCATTTAATATCCTCTCATTTATCTCCTTCCATTTCAACTTTCAATTTTTCCACTCAAAAATAGAAAAAGGAAGATTCAGACAAATTGTTGTTATATTTATTATATACCCACGAATTGAGAAGGGACCGAGTTTCAAATTCATGGCTGTGAAGATGATGAGATGGACGCCGTGGCCTCCGGCGTCGGCCGCCGGGGTGCGGAGGTATCGTGTGGGGGTGAAGCCGGCGAGGCTGGACGGATTTGGAGAAGAACGCGGCGGCGGTGGCCATGAGGGATCCGTGGCCGTTAAAGTTAAATGGAAAGGCGAGCCAAGGCTGTTTCCGTTGATGGCGCCGTTCCAATCGCGGCCGAGGGCTGAGACATCGAGCCGGAAAATTTTGGAGAAGGGTTTGGGATTTATCGAGTGGGATGAAGATGGATGGTTCGAGAACATTTGCTGTCTTTCGGTGGTTTCTGATCAGGATGTTCATCCTAAATTTGGAGCCTGGGAAATCACCTTCAGTATTCTTCATGTAAGATTGAATGTATTTTTTCAATGAATTTTAATCATCGATTGGGGTGAAGGTTATGCCTAATCTGATTGAGGGTTTAATTTTTCTAAATTTTGGCGTATGTGGTGGGAATCGATTGATTGTGGTGTTCAATTCATATTTATGTCTGCTGATAGAACT